AGGTGTGGTGAGGACGGCACCTGAAACACTGTGTCCTTTCAGAGCCTGTGACTGTCACCAGATACTCTTTACTGATGGGGAAACTGAGGCTCTGCAGAGCCAAAGACCCATCCAAGGTCATGTTCGTGGCCAGCCCTGCTCAGGACTAGAGCCCAGAACTCCCAAACCCATGCTCATTCCCCCAGACCACAGTCAACAAAAATGTACCAGTTCCCACAGGGACAGAGGCCTTTTTGTCCCAAACACCCTAACACTTCCCAAGCTGCTCTGAGGTGCTGAGACCTCACAAGTACGGAGGCAGAGTGGGACCAACACCCCAGTTCTTCTTTGGATACCTCCAGTGCAGCACTCCCCAGCCCCCATGCCTGTCCAGCTCCAGCACTCAGCACGAACTGCTGGTGGCTGCTGTCACCATTCACCAGGCCACTGTGTCACTGGGATGGCTGTGGCTATCAGAGTGGGACTTACGTGGGTCAGACTTGGAAAACATGTCTTTGTCCAAGAGGTTCCTGAAAGAGGGGAGAAAGGAGAAATTAGCAGGGATGGAGGGGACAAGTGTCAGGGCCTACGCCGGGTGCTGAGCCTGGAGACGGCCTACAGCCTGGTCTCAGACACAGTGGGAAGGGGAGACAGGCCCCTTAGCACACTTGATTAACTTCATTAAATGCCAGGAACCACACAGGGTGCCACAAGCCTGTCACCTCAGCACCCAGGTAGAGGAGAGAGACAGGAGACTAAGGAGTTCAAGGCCAGCCTGGGGCAATATAGTGAATTAGAATAGCCTGGGCTACATGCAACTGTAAGAAAGGAAGGAAGGAAGAAAGGAAGGAGGGAGGGAGGGGAAGGGAAGGGAAGGGAAGGGAAGGGAAGGGAAGGGAAGGGAAGGAAGGAAAGAAAGACAGAAATAAAGAGAGAAGGAAAGGAAGGAAGAGAAAAAAAAGAAAAAAGGAAAACCCAGATGCTGGGAGGTCCTGAGGCCGCTCCAGTCTCCACTTTCCTACGATTCGAAGTGTTCCCCCAACCACGCCATAGTCACAGCTTCTTCAGATGCTACCACCACGGTGCCCTGGACCCTGGTGCTTCTCATGAGTCAGACCTCAGTCAGTCTCGTCCTTCTCAGACATTTCCTTGTTGTGGAATATTATTTTAACTGGGCACAATCCTGTTACGTTTGTTTATGCTGTGGAATGTTACTATGTGAAGGCGGGTCACATTTGTTTGTGTTGCATTTGCGCTCATTAAATCAAATTAACCTGGGCTCAGAGAGGCGGGGTCAGTGACTAGTTGACAGGAAGTAGCAGGGAGGAGCTTAGCGTGGGTTATTTTAGTTGGGGCACTGTGGAAGGGCGGGGCTTCCAGGATGCCAGCAAAGAAAGTTTGGCCAGTTGCTATTCTACTTCTCTGGGCTTGCAGGTTTTCACCCTAGTCTTTGAATCTCAAGTTTTATTAGGATGATAGAGATTTAGTTAGAACTATTTTAGCGGCAGCAACAGAGCCATTGTCTGGGGGAACAGAATTCCCCTTGGCTACGGCATTAGTGGCCTGGGGCTCGTAGTTTAAAGTGCAGTCACTGTGATAAAGGTAAAACAGCATTTCCTATCACTTCTGTCACTCAAAAATAAGAGAATGAATGAATGATAACTATGACCCACCAGAAAGTATTTAGCCTCTGGTCTCCCAGGATGTTTATCACAGCCTGCTGATTCCCTCCTTCAGAGCATACAGAAGAATTAATGAATGACTCCTCAAAGGTGTATACTGAGGAATTAATGAATGACTCCTCAAAGGGGACACAGACTCACTTGAACAAGATCCTTCTAAGGTCAAGACTAGAGCTGAGGTTGCGTGTGGTGACTCACATCTATAATCCAAGTACTTGGGAGGCTGAGGCAGGAGGATCCGGAGTTCAAGGCCAGCCTAGGGCACAGGGCAAAGCAAGCCTCTAATCCCAGCACTCAGGATGTAGAGGCAGGAGGATCCGGAGTTCAAAGTCATCCTCAGCTACACAGTGAGTTTGAGGCTAGCCTGGGCTACATGAGACTCCGCTTCAAACAGCTCACTCATGGATCCAAGACTTGGGCTGGAGGAGGAGTTGGCTGGATGAGGGACAGGGACCAAGGTCGCTGAGTGGCTCTGCCTGAAGCACCAGCTGCTGCTGGCTGCAGGGCGTTAGGTTTGGAACCCAGTGAGTGCAGCTCAGGTTCCTGAATGCTGTGAGGTCAGCACTGGGTGGGTGTTGCCCCAGTCGAAAGGTTGTAGCTGAGGCTGGGGAACCATGTCCTATAGATGTCCCTCCACAGCTTCCATCAGGAATCTATGTAGCCCAGTGCCGACAGTCTCCAGTGGGTCAGGGACCCATCTTTTCTGTCCTAGGGGCCGTCAAGCATCGCCTCCCCACCCCCCACCCCCCAGGCCCTGGAGCTCTAGGACACAGGGGCTGTCCTCCACGCTCACTACCTCCTGCTCCCTTCCAGACAGTAGCAGAAGGTCCTGGTGCCAGGGACAGTGCAGCCAAAGACAGCAATAGCTAGGGAATACGCGGCCCGGCCGGCCTCCACCCTCCCTGGTGACAGCCTCCTACAGGCTGAGGGGACAGAGCTCGAACAGACTCCTCCAAGGTCTGAGTCTCGTCCAAGTTTGGGTGTGGGGCTCAAGTCGAGTCATTTCTAGGCTAGTGAGAAAAACAGAAGCCCCTAGGTTTCGGCCTAGGGGAGACAGAGGCGGGAGGGTCAGTAAATGCAGCCGTCCACCTCGTAGCTGGGCCACAGGCACACAGTGAGACTAAGAATCGGGGTCCAGCTTGTGGATGGAGCTCGGTAGTACAGTGCCTCCCTGGCATGCACAAGGCCCGGTTCAACCAACAGTACTACACTAAACAGAGAACCAGCACACGGCTCCTGGCGCCGGTCCCAATCACTTCGGACTCTCAGTAAGCCAGGGACAAGAGTCACCCTGGTGGCCAGCCCCCAAAGACAACACAGCCCTCAGTCCTCCATGCTGCTGACCTTCTTACCATACTTCCCGAGGATTCCTGTCTTGATGCTGCGCTCCTGAACCTGGATCCACCACCTGGTCCCCTCCCCTACGGGTACTGCTGCCCCCCACACTGCTCTGGGCCCCTCCAGGGAAGGGGCTGGCCTCTGTCTCACTCCACCAGGTCCTGAGTCAGCAGGGTGCAGCTGGAAGACCGAAAGGAGCGGCCAGGGGCTGAGGATGTGGCCCAGCGGGTGGGGTGTCTGCCGAGCAGACACAAAGCTCGGGGTCTGATTCCCAGCACCGGTGTGGTGATGGACGCTGGAAATCCCAGCACATGGGGAGCCGAGGCAGGAAGACTTCCACAAACTGGAGGCAATCCTGGGCCACAGAGGGAAACCCTGTATTTAAAACAAACCCGAACCAGAACGGGACAGCAAGGGCTGGTCAGGGCAACACTCGGAGTACCTTCATACTCCTCCTTAGCTACAGACAGACAACTGCATTGCATCCCAGCTCGGCACGGGTGACTTGGCTACCTCATGCCTCAGTTTCCCCATTTATAAAACGGGGCTTAGTGTAGTCCAGGGCTGCTCAGTGTACATTACCTGGGACTTACAGGTCAGTCCTCGGGCTCACAGTGAGAAAGGGAGCCATAAGCCACCTCCACCCTTCCTGGTCCAAGAAGCCAGGCCCAACCCTGACCTGAAGGGGGCGCTGACTATCTCATCATCTGAGATGGACCCCCGTGGCTGTGAGTACCCCTGCCTGGGTCCCCATCCTGGTCCCCTCTCTGACAGCACCCCCTGTCCCACTTTGCCCCTGCACCCTTCAACCCAATTTCTTACTTGATAGAAACGGGGCGTACGGGGCTCCTGAGAAGCATGCACCACTGGTTAGCAATGGGCCTCTCATGGCCTGGGGTTCACTTCAGTCCCTGGGAGTAAGACGGCAGGTTCTTGGGGTCCTTCCCAGAGTCTGGCTTTGTAGGTCTGGGGTGGGGATTGCGTGTTTAGCTGGCTGCTGCCCCACCCAACAGCCCCCTCCTGAGTTTCTGACATAGTGGTTCAAATAAGTATCTTGGGTCAAAACCCTTTGTCTCAGCGCCTCAACCTCCCACTGGACACCAAGGACCCCAAGCCATGTCTGCTTGGCCCCCGAGAATCCCTCACAGTTGCCAGGTCCCCAGTAACCCTCACCTACCCCACTGAGCACTCCTGGCTCAGACGAGACAGCACAGAGCCAGAGCAGCCTGGGAGACCAGGCCTTCGGCCCCAGGCAGAGCCCCAGCCACCAGGGCACTGACCACACCAGACTAAACCAGACCGTAAGTGTTTTCCTCTGCTTTCTACTTTGGGAAAGGAGAGAGAGAGAGAGAGAGAGAGAGAGAGAGAGAGAGAGAGAGAGAGAGAGAGAGAGAGAGAGAGAGAGAGAATTTCCCCAACAGTCAAAATATATTTTTTTCCCCCAAAAGAGCATAAAATCCTTCAGCTGTCTGCTCAGCAGCCTGGAGCTTCACCTCTTTTGTTCCTTAAACCGAGGCTGGGAAAGCAGAGCCGAGGCCCTTTGCTTCCTGCCACCCCCAAGGACTCGTTTCCAACTCAGGAGGCTGAGAGAAACAGTACCAGGCTGTGAGGCCAGGAGCCTCTGAGGTCCCAGCGGAATGTGATGGAGGACCCCCTTAAGGGACCTGGGCGGTGACACTTCACGGCAGAGAGGCCCGAGGGAAATGGGTGGGGGCTGAAACAGAGCCCCAGTCCGAGGGGGGACCCCTGCCTTGCCTGAGCTATGGGCGAAGTAATTACATCCCCTGCTTCTCTCTCATGGATGTGCTGAGCTTGCACTTGGCTGGAGCTGAGCAAGTGCGTCAGGAGCCTGTACCTCAGCTATTGCTGGCCCCGGGGTCCTCAGTGGGGACCACGAACCCCGGACACTAAGCAGACTGACGCTGGTCCACGCGAACCGGATGTAGGTTTGTTGCTGCTGTCATCATCATCCACATCTCAAAGAAAAGGAGGAGGCTGCAAGAGTTAGGAGGAGGCTAGACCTGGTAGCCCAGGCCTGTAGTCCTGGCCACCTGCGAGTCTGGGGCGGGAGAATCACAAGTTCAAGGCCTGCCTGAGCTACTTAGTGAGTTCAGTGGCAGTCTGGCAACTTAGTTGTCTCAGGGGAACACAAAAGTCAAAAGGGTTATAGCTCAGTGGCACGGCACTCACTTGGCATGTTCAAAGCCCCAGGTTCAATCCCCAGCACAGGAAGCAAAGGAAGGAGGGAGGGAGGGAGGGAGGGAGGGAGGCCAGGTAGGTTTCTCTGAGCTGGAAATAGTGGCACACACACTGGCACTTGGGAGGCTGAGGCAGGAGAGCAGCCAGTATGATCCCAGCCCCGGGTGCTAGGGACAGATGAACTGACACCAGGTAGTAATGACGGACCCACAGAGAGTGCCAGGGCCTGAGAGCGCATGGATGTCACTTTGTTCTTCAAAACCAACTTCCCACCGAACACCTAGTCAATGAAGTGGATGAGGGGTGACCCCCCTCTCACAATCAGCCAGGTCCTTTCTCAGGTACTCAACCTGGGACAGTCAACTGACCCTGTGTCCCAACGCCAGCAGGTGCCCGTTCACATCCCTAGAAGGGGCAGATCTGACCTCTGAAGTTCCAGTCCCTGGGGCTGCCCACCTGTGCCCCCTCCATCCCGCTGACAAGTTGGAGAGGAGCGGCAGGGCGGGCATCCATAACCTCCAGCCCTCACAGGGGAAGGACCTGGGTGTCCTGCTCCTTGAATCTCTCTTCTCCATGGCCTCCCCTCCGGTCTCAGCGGACATGTCACCCTGCCTCACCATCCGAAGTGAAAGAGCTCACCTGCTGATGAGCTCATGCATGTTGTTTGCCTAATAAAAATGCACATGAGGGGCTGGAGAGATGAGATGGCTCAGAGGTTAAGAGCACTGGCTGCTCTTCCAGAGGTCTCGAGTTCAAGTCTCATCGACCACATGGTGGCTCACAGCCATCTGTAATGAGATCTGGTGCTCTCTTCTAGCGTGCAGGCGGAACACTGCATACATAATAAACAAATAAAATCTTTTTTAAAATGCTTATAGGATAGAATTGGAGGTTGCACGCCTCTAATTCTAGCACTTGGGAGGCAGAGGTGGGTAGATCTCTATGAATTTGAGGCCAACCTAATCTACAGTGAGTCCCAGGCCAGCCAGGGCTACCCGGTAAGACCCTGTCTCAAAGAACAAAACAAAACAAAACTGTGCATAGTTGGACATGGCGGTGCACACGTGTAAGCCCGGCACTGGAGAAGCTGAGGTGAGAAGGTGGAGCTGGCCTTGGGAGGCCAGCTGCGGGTACACACTGAGACTGTCTCACAAAACCAGGGAGGCATGGTGCTCCACGCTAAAGCGCTTGCTAGGGAACCGTCAGGTTCTAGGTTCCATCACTGGCATTGCTTGGGGCATGGGCTCACACGCGTGCGCGTGCGTGCACACTGCCCCCCACACACACACACATGCCCTCACCCTCTCTCTCTCCCTCCCTCCCTCATCTCTTGTGAGTTTCATGAGTCTATTTTTTTAATGACAGTTATCTGAGCCTGAGAAATGGTTCCACAGTGAAGAGCACTCGCTGCTCGTCCAGAGGACCCGAGTTCATTTCACAGCACCTTGATCGAGTGGTTTAAGAGCTTCTGTAACTCCAGCTCCAGGGGATGGGGTACCTCTGGCCTCCATGGGCACATGTACTCACACGGGGCCTAGCACTGGCCTCGAGAGGTCTGACTCCTCACGTTCTCCGGCAGGTGGACAGCCAGGATCAGGCTGCCCCCAATGCCATGCTACTGTTCCACTGTGGGGACTGCATGGGTGGGCAGGAGGGAAACTGAGGGCAGAGGTGCCCGGTAAGGGCTTGGCAAGGGCTTGGTAAGGGCTTGGCAAGGGTGCACAACTTGGCTTCTTGCCTGTCACACTAGAAGGAGAGGTATTCAGGAGCTGGCATGACTCCTTGGCAAACTGATTCCTTATCCCCAGACCTGAGAATGAGAGGAATCAGACCTCAAGAGGCCAACACTAGGTCCTTTGTAGCTTCAAGGAGCCCAGGTACCCCATGGAGCCATCTTGCAAGCCATGGTTGCCCATCCAGCAATAGAATCCGCACAGCTTCTGATGTGATGGAGACCCTCTTATGTCAAAAAATGGCAGCAGTGAATGTGAGGTCCAGCTCTGGCCACTCCCAGGGATGGTTAAAGATTTGTGCAAGAAGAGCCAGGTGGCAGTGGCTCACGCCTTTAATCCCAGCACTAGGGAGGCAGAGCCAGGCGGATCTCTGTGAGTTCGAGGCCAGCCTGGTCTACAGAGCGAGATCCAGGACAGGTACCAAAACTACACAGAGAAATCCTGTCTTCAAAAACAAAAACAAACAAACAAAAAAAAATTGCAAGAAAGACCCTTTGCTCCACCGTTTGTCTCCCAGCGGGTTTTGTGACAATGAAGCTTGCCATTTGGACGGCAACCAAGCAGAACGATGGTGGGGTTCTTCCTGGCAAAGTGGCTGACAACCAGCCCCGAGACAGCTTACCTCCAGACTCACTTCATCTGAGAACACAAGTTATTTCAGGTCCAGGCTACTAGCAGTCAGGTCTGTTCCGTGTACAGACAGCCAACAGCTTCCTTCGGAGCCTGTCAGCTCCCTGAGCTTCCTCCTCCCTCCCCTCTGTTCTCAAAGGAGGGTCATCTCCCCCACCTCCACCAGCCCGGGAGTCTGAGTGACTCCCGGAATGTGAGCTGGGAGAGGAGGGTAGGAAGCCTCGGCCCTACAGTCCGGATACCATGGTAGGCTGGCTTCTACTGCAGAAGTCTCTGTGTTTGGCCTCTCCGAGCAAGCGCGGCCTTTCCCATGCCTGAGGGAGGACCTGTCTTACCTACAATGGCTGCTACTTGGGTCTCATCATGATCTCCACAGAGCCTGACCCCTTGACATCTGAGGGCACAGGCTGTGGATGCTCATCTCCAAACCCTGCTGGCACTAACCTCAGGCACGTGCCTCCACCTTTCTGGGCCTTGATTTCCTAGGCAGACAAAAAGGAAACACTGCAATTTACTGCAGAGGATTGTCAGGGAGCTAAAAGGCCACAGTGGGGGGCCAGAGAGATGGCTCAGCAGCTTAAACACTTGTTCTGCATGCATGAGGACTGGAGCTGGGGTCCCCCCCAGAAACCCAGAGAAATGCTGGCTGGGAATGACAGCCGCAGTAATCCCATCCCCCAGAAGGTGAGACAGAGGATCTGGGTTTAACTGAGAGACCCTGCCTCAATGAATAAGGTGGACAAGCAATCAAGGATGACATCAACCCACAGACAGACAGACAGACAGACAGACAGACACACACACACATACACACAGGGCAGGGGTGGAAAAGGAAAACAAAAGGCCCAGCAGCTGGGGCAGGCAGAAGTCTCCCGTTGCCCACACTGTGGAGTCCCTCTCCTTGATGTGTGGACTGGCTGTGGGGCAGTGGCTCCCGGGACTGGGCTATAACACAGGAAGTAGTAGACTTCTTGTGACTCCAGAGATCCATATCTCGCTGTCACAGCCCTTGGAGGAGCCAGCCTTCCCCCAGCCTGGAGGAGGTCAGTTGCCTTACTGCAGAGGCAGCTAGCTGGGACCACAGGAGTCGGCTGGGGGTCACTTTGGTCCTCACCAGCAAGACAATGAGCCTCAATTCTGCAAGCAGCCTGGTCAAGGCCCATACCTCAGGGTGAAGTCCTAGCCCCAAGACACAGAGTTGGGGTGGGATAAAGTCATGTGTTCAGGAAACTGTGGCCATTTATTCCATAGCAGCTGAAAACTAATGCTCCGTTCTTCTAAGACAGTGTGATCTGAGGCGCTAGCTTAGACGGCAAATCCGTTACTATAGACGCGGCAGATATGGGTCCGTCTAACAAGGATGCCAACCGCTCAGCTGGAGTGAGTGTCCAACCTGTGCCATGATTACCCTCCCTGGCGTTGTTGAATATCTGGGTGTGGCCAACGGTTAAACAGGTCTCTTTTCCCTAATGCTGACTTATCGCTGCCACCATGCCCCCAGCCTCCCCTCCACCCCCCACTGCCATCTCCCGTCCCTCAGAAGTGCTCAGCGTGAACTCACACCTGTCCACAAGGCCCAGGACACAGCTCCAGAGCTGGGCTGTCTCTTTTCACAGGATGCCTTATGTTAGCTTGAACAGACAGCAGTAATCAACCTCTGGGGCAGAAGCCTAGCCACTCACCAGCCCCTTACCAGCTGGTGGGGGAAGGCAAGCTGTGTGAGATCCCAAGTAGACATCCAGCCTGCCTGGTCTCAGGAGTCCTTGCATGCCTCTCCAATATGACCCTGCCCAAGCACAAAGGCTTCCTGTAATATGAAAATGCAAGCCGTTCTTTCCAACCATAGAGCTGATGCAGCAACCAGCATAGGGCAGGGAAGCCAGCCCGATAGGGCCTCTGGAGGAAGAAGGGGTCACGGGACAGGTAAGCTTTGAATAGGTCTCCAGAATGGCCAACACTCCTGGTCAAGAGCGGTCCCAGACTGACAGGAAGAGCGCCAGGCTCGGACAGTGTTTATAGTCACATTTTATACTATGTCTGCTGGAATCTAGTTCCACGAACCATCTCTGCTCCAGGAATCACGACATCAAGCAATCTCCAGGGCTCCACACATCCCTGTAGATGTGTGGACCTCTGTTACTGTGTGATGTCAGCTAACTGATGACACTAGCCACTGTTCTCAGATTGGCCCATCAAGTCCTTGTAATCGACAGGGATCACTATGCCCTTTTACAGAGGAGGAAACTGAGGCCAGACAGGAGAATCAGCTCCTCAGAGATCCCAGGAACAGAGCTGGATGTGCCTCTGTGGTAATATGCTTGTGTAATATCTGTTTGATCCTCAATCACAGGAAAAGCTGGGATTTGAACCCAGGGAGCTACGAGCCAAGCTCTACATAGACCAGGCTGGCCTGGAACTAGCCGAGATATCTGCCTCTGCCTCCTGGGTGCTGGGATTAAAGCCAAGCTCATACTCTCTGTTGTTGGGCTTTGTCTGTTGGAGGCAAGGTCTCTCTGTGCAACCAACTGTTCTGGAACCAGCTCTGTAGACTAGGCTGGTCTTAAACTCACAGAGATACTACTGCCTCTGTCTTCGAGTGCTAGGACCAAAGGCATGAATCACCAGGCCTGGCCAAGTTCATATTCTTAACCAGTGCCCAGGTCAGGCACAGCATGTGTCTAGAACAGCCCCTAGGACAAGGCAGAGTTTCTGGGGCTGGATCAAGGGAGCCAGAGAATTCATCGGCCACCCCGAAACACTGCCCCCAGCTGCCCATCTGGAGGAAGTTGTCAGAAAGGGTCACTGAGATGCTCAGGGTAGGGTACCCCAAAATCTTCACTGGTGGGGGTTCCAGTTAGTGCTGACCAGGCTGCAGAAGGGACTCTTTAACTGGTAAGCATGGAATAAAGGGTATGATGGCAATGTGGGCGCCTCAGGTCTCCGCTGCCCCTGAACCTGGACCAATGGCCCCAGCTAAAGCAGAGATGGATCTTACAGAGTCAAGGCCACCCAGACTGTTCTGCTACCTCCCCTCTGTTCCAAGTGGCTCTCTGTCCTCATCTCCCTCATTTCCATCTCAGGAGAGCAGAAGGAGAGCCTGGGCCAGGCCTTCTACAAAATGTGAATCATGTCCCTTCAGAGGGATGGACGCCAGGGTCCACCCAGAACCCAACTTCTAGGAACTCTCCTGAAGCAAGCACCTCACATGCAGGTATCTACATCCTCCGGATGCTTCCAGAGAACAGAGAGGAGCTGAGCGTTTCTATCTCGGGCCGATCATCCCGGCCACTTGCTGAGTGCGGCAATGCCCCTCTGTGCCTACCCCTATCATCCACCTGCAGTAGTGTCTGTACCCACTGTGTGTCCAAAGCATGCGAGTGACCTCTGCGAGCAAGGCTTCCCGGAGAGGAAGCAGACTTGACAGCTGGGAAAGTAAGGCTTAAAGTTTGCCCGAGTGGTACGCCAGGGATCCCTCACAAGATGTCTGACCGAGAGTCTCACTGCTATCACGCTTTCTCTCCACGGAGTGGAAGGACCTAGGGCCCGTCACAGGAGCATCCCTGCAGCCCATGTTCACGCACAGGCTCCGCACTCCGGGTCCAGGGGATGTGGACGCCAGTGCTTGAGGCTGGCGCCTTTAGGGACAAGAGGAGGACGTCCCTGGAAATGGGAAGCACGAAGCCTTTCCGGGTAGGGAACAGTCTGTTTGGAGGCCCAGAGGTGGGAAGGCTCTGAGAGACAACTGAGGAGCCTGAAGGCGACAGGCATGATTGAAGGAGAGGAGGCAGGGCTGTGTGCAGGAGGAGGGCAAGCTTGCAGCTGCTGACAGCTGAGGAGATGAGACCAGAGCTAATGGGCCATCAGGAGCCTCCCAGCAGAGTAACGGCAGATTCAGATGTCTTCGCGTGGGACTGAGGTGTGTGTGTGTGTGTGGGGGTGGACACACATCTGAGAGTCACCACAGTAGGCCCCTTGGAGAGCCTGGCTGGGGACACCACCTCAGCAGCCCTCACCTCAAGTCCTCAGGAACAAGTTCTCCAGAATCCATCCTCTTCCACACCCCCAGGCCAGCATCTCAGGCCCTACCTACACTTCCTCAGTGTCTCAACACAGTCACTCAGAGCTGAGGGGACATGGGGGTGGACAAAGTAATCCAACAGCGACCTGCAAGAAGCGGAGGTGAGTGATCCGGAACAAGGAAGGGTACGGCAGGGCTCTAGAAGTGCTGCAGGCTATTGCCAAGACCTCAAGGTGAGCTTTATCTGGACCACAGTGTTCCTCACAGACCTATCAAAGCAGTGCATTCAGGGTCAGCCACATGCCTGGCCACCCTTGGGGCAGCTAGTTAGGAGAACCTGGGAGGCCCAGTTCCTCAGAGAAGTCATTCCCCCCCTGTATGGTATCACAGGGGGCTCGGGGGTGGCAGCCTACAAAACACACTCTTGCCTGGGGATCCTGACATCCCACCCCCAGCCCTTCACTCCTTCGGTTTTAAGATTTTCCATCCGAGTTACTGGGTTTTAATGGCGCGACTCTAAGTTTGCCAGGGCTTCCCGCACTCTGAGAGTCCCAGCTGATCCTTCTTGCAAGAGAAGGCTTTCAAATCCTGGGTTCTGAGAGAGTGGAGGAGGGGGGAGGAGGCTGGGGCACAGACCAGAAGGAGAGGAGAAGGGAGGTCACAGGAGGCACAGTGGGTCATGCCTGGGAGGGATGGCGCCAGTCACTCTCACATCTCCATTTGGGGAAGGGTAAATCAGAGAAAGCCAGAGCGAGACCCTGGGGGCAGCTCCTCTCCTTCCCACTCGGGTGTTGGGACCCCTGTTCCTGTGTCTTCCTGCTGTCCTGGAAGCAACAGCTCCGAACGCAAACTTTCTGGGAACCTGACCCCCGTCTGGCTGCCCATTCAGCTGTCGCCACCCGCCACTGGGCAGGGGGTCTCCGAAGACCGGCAGCAGGGCGCCTGGGAGACCACGACACTAAAAAGCGGCTCGCTAAGCAAAGGATGGAAGCTCTAGAGACAGAGGGATTCCGCCCCGGGGCGGGGCAGGGGGACCCCAGCGGCAGGCGACTCACCTGCACGACACCGTGATCTCCACCTTGGTAGCCGGGATGCTGCCCGCCAAGGAGTCGAACTCGCTGAGCGACGCCATGTCCTCGGGCTGCTCCATCGCCCACCGTCCCCCCACCCCACCCCAAATTAGTCAATATTCCTGCGCGATTCACGCCTCCTCCGGAGAGCGGCTGGAGCCCTGGGCTGGGCGGCCAGGGGAGGAGAGGAACACGAAGAGGGGGCGTGGGAAGTGCGAGCGGGAAGGGGGCGGAGAGCGGGGGCCGCGGAGAAACGGGGCGCGGGAGCTGCAGCGGGGAGGCGGGAGCCGCGGCAAGGGAGCCGGGGCGCAGCGGGGAGGGGGGCCCGGAGGGGGCGTGGGGACTCGGCGGGCGCGCGGGGTGGGGGGGGGGGTGCGGCGGCTAGGATCGCGCCGCCTCGGGCTTGGGGCGCAGAGCCACGTCCTCTGCTAGGGCTCCGGCTCCGGGGCGCCCGGACTGCGGGAAAATCAAATGTGCCCGGAGTCGCCGCCGCCTCCCGCCAGCCGCGCGCGCTGCGTGCGGGGGTCTGCGGGCGCCGGAGGGGCCGCCCGCAGGGGCCGGGGCGGGGCCGGGGCGGGGTCTGAGCGGAGCGAGTGTGGGAGCGGTGAGTGTGTGTGTGTGTGAGAGAGTGAGTGTGCGCGCGTGTGTGTGCACGCGCGTGGCGGGCGTGGGGACGCGGCTCTGGATGACGGGGACGGGGCTGGCGACAGCCAGAGCCGGTCCCAGGGCGCGCGCCGCCCTCTGCGCCAGTCCCCCACCCCACTTATCCAGGGTCTGCGTGCTGGGGGAGGGGGACTGCCCAAGGGGCACCTGTTTGGGCAGCATCTAGGCGGGGTTCGGGGAAGAGGGCTCTGCTGAGTGTGCGCGCCACCACGGGAGGGTCTAAGCCCAGAGCTGGCTTTCCATCTCCCCTTGGGGAGGTGGCAACCGGCCTGGTGCAGAAGGGCCGGTCTGGTTTCCCACGCAGGTAGGGTGGGTCAGTGGACGCTTGCCCATCCACCTCTGGTGCCCGCCGACACTGGCCCTGGCCAGTCACCAGAACCTTTCTTTACCCAGCCCCTTCCTCCTCCTCCCCTCGTGACCAGAGGGGCTGAGCCAACCCCCGGGTCTGGAAGATTCCTCCAGGAGACTGAGAGGATGGCCTCAGCTCCCAGGCTTTGCAACCAGCTCCCGGTATACCGGGCTGAGAGCCTTGCACTGGGGAGCGAGGGGAGGTCAAAACATCTCCCAGGCGGTGTCTTCCCAGCCAGGCCTGGAGCCTCCTGCCCCACCAGGCCTGCCCCCTGGGCTCAGGGTTGCAGCGCCAAGCCGGCTCCTGGAGATTGTGTATGTAGTTTCCTCTCCAGCAAATGCACCCGCGGCCCCTCCTCAGCCTCCGTGTAAGCTTTACTGAGATGGAGCTTCAACTTCCTCGCCCACCACCCCATTGTCGCCATCAGTGGTGGCCTTCTGGCAGCCAGGCATTCTGAACAGGTCCACCCGGGTGCTGTTTGAAATCAATTTTCAATACATCAGTCAGCCTGAGTTGAAGACAAACAGAACACCTTCCCGTACTTGCACAAGTGTTTTCTGTTTACCTATAGCTCCAGATCAGCTGGACTCAGTTCTGTCACCTGGGGCAGGCAGCCAGGGATACTGGGATTCCCCGGGGAAGCCAGAAGAGGGGATGACTTTTGGGTTGTGCCTGGGGCCCTCCCTGAACAAATAACAGCTCAGTCTCCACTTACTTCTTTTTTTTTATTATTGTTTTTCAATTTTCAATTGATTTCAAATTTAGAACAAAATCCAGTCTGAACCACAAGTGAGCTGCTAGTCAATATATGTCTGAAACTATTGTTCGATATGGTAATGAGATAGAATGAACAGCGGAACCTCAGGAGAAGTTCCCTCCCAGCCCAAGGCTCCGGATGTGTTCTTAGAGTGAGTCCAGTTTCTAACACCATGTTAGGGGATGGCACAAAAGGTAAAGATTTGAAATAACTTGCCAACATCTATGATTAGGAATTTATTTTAAAACACAATTCTAAACGATGGGGCAAAGATTAGGTTACCCCTTCACCACAGGCATGCTGTGGCATGGGACAAGGGCAGTGCAGCTCAACAGGTGGGCTCTCTCTCTCTCTCTCTCTCTCTCTCTCTCTCTCTCTCTCTCTCTCTCTCTCTGAGGCCCTGTTTGGGGTGGCAGCCATAGGGAGGCAAGAAGGTTGTTCATCTGAAAGTCTGTTGATGACCCTGAAAAGTGACAGCATTTGGAGTGGTGACTTGGGTCTCCTCGCAGAGGTGTGTCGTCTGTAGTGTCCCATCCCCCCAGTGGTCACGCCTCTGTTGGCGCTCTTTGGCAAAACAGAACAAACTGTATCTGTTAATTTCTTTGTCAAGTTCTGCCTTAGGCTTGGATAAGAAGCAAAAAACAAACACAAGCAAAACCCCAAGGAAACAAAACCAAAAAGCCTAGTGTGGTGGCGCATGCCTTTAATCCCAGCACTGGGGAGGCAGAGGCGGGAGGATCTCTGTGAGTTCCAGGTCAGCCTGGTCTCCAAAGTGAGTTCCAGGACAGACAGGGCTATGTGGACAGACTCTGTTTCAAAAATAACAACATGGGGCAAAAAGACATGGCATCTGTCCCTAAAGTCGCAGGCTAGTGAGGCTTCCGGACATGCAGACAGAACTGGGCGGCATTTAGGAAGTTGGCATAAAGGGCCAGGGATCAGGGGACAAGCAGGAGAACCTGCTGGGGAGGTGACGGTAAGTGAGGCCCTGGTGTGGGTGCTGGAATCCTCCCCGGGACAGACTGGGCAGAAGTGTTTGAGATGCCGGGGAAAGCAAGGTGGCCCAGCACGAGGACTGGGTCCTAGGACTGCTCAGACCTCAGCTGCCCAAGGAAGGCAATGTTTGTGTGGCTCCTGCCAGCTGTCAGCTCCAGAGGACCTCACCTTCTGATGCTCCTAGCCTGACACACAGAGAGTCGGGGACTGCCCCAGGGCCAGGGAAGGTCTCAGCCTGAGCTGCAGACTCCAGCGGGTCCACATGAGCACAAGTACACTGAACTTCACTTTTGCCCCACAGCCAGCAGATTGAAGCTGAGCTGCATTCTTCGGGGAGATCTGTAGAGCCCAGGCCAGAGATCTGTGCCTGGCAACCGTGGTGTGTGTTTCTGGAGTAGAGGCTAAAGGTTGGTGGAGGTAGCTGAAGCCAGGCGGCCACAATGCTAGGCTCTGGCTGCCACGAGCCTGTCCAGAGTGGGGCGCCAATGGAGAGGTGCTCTGAAAGACACCTCTTTGGCCCATGGCCAACCAACCAGTGAGGCCCAGAACCTAAAACTTGATGATAAGTCTCAGGAGCATGGCTTCCAGCCTTTGCTCAAATGAATCACTCACTGATGGCTCAGAGCAAACCTCTGGGTGTTGCCTTTGGATGTATTGGTTTTCTAGAAGGTATACTGTGGATCCCGGGCCACAGACAAGCCCTCTGGTGACCTAACACGTGCTTCAGACTGGCTCTGTGGTCCTGGAACCCACTAGAAGCAACCTTGACCCTGGCCCGCCCGCCACGTAAGCACCGCCATCCCTCTGATTAAGAACCATGAGCACGGAATGGGCCGTGCCCGGAAGACGTGGGATAATCAGCGTCAGCACTTTGCCATCGCCGTCCAAGACTGCAGACGGCCTTCATCTGACCTGCTTCGTGGTGTTAATGATGGCAGAGCAATTTTGAGAGGCAACTCGCAGCATCGATAAGGAGGGGAAAAGTGCTGGGGGCCGAGCTCCTTGCAGAAGAGGCAGCTGCTGCGGCCCTCCTCTCCCCTCCCCGAGAGAGCACTTTGAGTAAGTGCTGCCCTCGGATCTGCCCTGATACGGCCAGAGAAAACTGATGGAGAGTTGGATTGGCACGGGGATGTGCAAGGGGGCTGTAGTGGGGGTGGGGTCCCCGCACTACACCTGAGAACAGTGTCTGCTGGGCGAACACAGCCTTGGGCCTGGCAGGTGTGGGGCTGCACTGGAGCCACATACACACACACACACACACACACACACACGCACGCACGCACGCACGCACGCACGCACACTTACCTGCTTATTTAGAAGTTCTTATGTAGCAAACATCCTGTACCGCTCGCGATGCATGGCAGCCCCGGGGAGAAGGACAGCCAGGAGGCAGGGGAATTTGAAACCACCGTAGGAAGGAGGCAAGATCAAGATGCAGGATGTGATTCTATCCATTAATAGAAATGCTAGAAGGGGCTTGAGTTGGCGACCATGTAGATTAAACCCCTTTGATGGCTGAAAAGCTTAGCGTGGGAGAGCGATGAGTTTCAAGATCATCCGAGTCTTCCCCCAGTGAGAAACCCCAGTAATAACAGTGAGGCTGGATACCCAAGAGCAGAGGACCGACCTCAGATGGGGTAGGGCGAAGCCATGTACACTGGGGTAGAAGAGGCATGGAGGGTGTGAGACTCTCTGAGAAATGTCCACTGTCCCCCCAGGACCTCCCTCTCCATCCTGCTTGGTGCCACCAACACAAAGTGAAGCCTAGAAAGTTGCTGTGCCCAAGATTTCCTTCTCTTGGGACCAGTCCCCAGCCTGACCGCACCTCTGCCTCCTGCCTTGCTCTCTCCCTCCTCCCTCCGCCCGACCTCTCTCCAGGTGATGGACGCCTCTTGCTCTCACCATCCAGGTCCTAGAACCTTCGAGCCTTCGGAAGCAGCGGATGCACTCAACCCACACAGCCCGTGTCCCCCTGCTGCTCAAGACCCTCCCTGGTTAGCCTCTCACTCTGGAACATTCCATGACCTCTCCAGCTGCATCTCCTCCACCACGTGAGTGACCACAGCCAGCCACACTGGCCTTCTTCCTGGCTGGGCCTTGGTACCTGCTACCTTCTTTCCCTTGCCTGGGAAAATGTTCCCAGTCCGCTTCAATGCCCGAGCCCTTTACAGAGACCTCGCGGAACACCCCCTGACATAGCTTGTCATTCACCCCTACCTTCCTCTATCTTCCTTCACCTTGCCGGTTTTCCCACCAGGAAAAGCTTTACACAAACAAGGGCTGTTCTGTTCACCGTGGATTCCCAGCACCCGAGGACAGCGCAGTCACAAATAGAGCACACATGTGGCAGGCGCTTGATCCATCGGATGCGTGGCTGAGAAGCCCACTCTTGCCCTTGGAAGCGCTGGGTCCTTCCTGAGGACCCCCAGAGTCTCTGCACCAGTGCCGTCAGAGGACTGTCCGTCACTCACATCATTCAACATTTATTCCGCGTGTGTCACGAATGCAGCTAGGGAACTGTGTGTCAACAATCCGGCTGACACTGCTAGGGTCTGGGGCCAGAGCCTCAGAGAAAGGAAGGGATTTGGATGTCTCCATCTTATTTACTGAGAACCCGCCATGAACACACAGAATCTCACATCTGCCGCCCACTCAATCCTCACAAGTGGCGCCACTGTCGACGTCCCACTTAACAAATCTACTCTGCACCGCTTGCTGCACCCGAACATCCCCAGGGTGGAGGGCTGAGGCGGCTGCAGCAGGTAGGAGCTCAATGCAGGGCAGTTCAGACCCCCTCTCTAGAGTTTCCCTCCTGAGGAAGCTGCAGACAAATGGACAGCATTGGCTGCATTTCCGCAGGTAAGGAACCCCAACCACTTCGGCTCACAGGGCTGAGAGGTGAGACAGGATGCAAGCCCAGGTAGGGTCTTCTAGGCTGAAACCCTGACACCATGCAGACTTTCCTGATCCTCAGAGGAACACCCATCTCTGGGTCTCACGACATCCCAGCGTAGATAACCTGTCACCTCACTCGATTTTCCTCCCTCACAAACTTAATCCAGCTTGGTGTGGTTAGTCACGGGATTGTGGACCTCGGTGCTGCAAAGGGTTTAAAAGATGACTCTGCAGATCTGGGAACTGAGGCCCTCTCCCAGCTGAGCTGTATTCCCAGTCTAGGTCCAGGCTGGCCTTGATCTGACTGTGGACCCCCAGCTGGCTTGAACTCATTGGCTATCCTCCTGCCTCAACCTCATGAGTGCTGGGATTTTAGGTTTGGATCATTTTGCCTCCGCTCCTTCTAGGAAGGATGGTTGCCATAACTTCCATCTCGTTAACGCACATTTGTACCATTTCTGACCCCACAATGAGCTCCATGTCCTCAGCCCTGCCAACAGGCCCCACACCAGCTAGCTTGGATGCCCTGGCCTTCCCAGGTTTCTGACTCCCCCTCTTCCGGATTAGCCTGGACTCCACGGTCTGACCCAGTGTGTCTCTCAGTAGACCTTTCTTTAGGCTCCAGCTTTGTGTGAGTGGGGGGAGGGGAGAACCTTACCTTGATTCCACAGCCTGGCTTTGGCCCTCCCTCTTTTGTGGCTGGGTCTAAATTTTCCGTCCTTCTCCTCCCTCCCAACTCCTTTGCAGTACTGGTGCTGGAAGCTAGGGCCTTGCCCCTGCCAGCAAACACTCTGCCACTGAGCTACACCCCCAGCTCCTAATTCCATTTGAAAACAGCCCCCTCCCTGGTGTGGCAGGCTGGCCGGCTTTGGGGCTAGCAGGACTCCCTGCTCCAGGGAAGACCATCGCCCCTTGTTTGAGCATCTTAGGAAACGGAAGACTGACTCCTCACATTTGTTCTCGAGCTCAAAAGCAAACTCACCCCCTCCCTGTACGGCCAGCCTCCCACCAGCAAGCACGAAGGCTTCCTGACTGGCACACTCGAGCTGGGAGGAGCAGGGAGACACAGCCTCCTGGCCAGTTCCATTCCTGGAGCTCCTTCATCTCCCCTAACTGGCTCCAGAGACCCTGGTACTCCCTCCCCCAGACACCTAAAGATGGGTGTTGGGGGGCCGTCGCTACCCCACAGCCCTGATGCTCTGTCAACCCTGCATCCTAGCCTCTCTCCCAGCTTGTCATGGGGAAGCCTGCGAAGCCACCAAGGATGAAATAAATACCCTTTTCCTTCCTTAAGCTCTAAATTGATTTTCATGCCAGGCCACTCATGTTTGCTCGCCTGGCTGCGGAGGTAACTGAAATGTGCACAAAATGCCATGAGCCTGGCTTTGTGTGCAAGCCGACGTCCCGGCGGCCCTGCCCTGGTGTGCCCGCTGGAGTCTTCCACCGCCTGCTGTTGATCTCCCTGAGTTTATTAGCTCTGCCTCACACCCCTAGCAGTTCATCAGGCACATTTGTTGGCCTGTCTCCTCCACCCCTGGCTAGGAACAGCTGCTCTGATTGAGGGAAGTGTCTGTTCTCCCGTTCTCCGTTCTCCGGTAATCCCATCAGCACCTTGGGAGGCTCAGGTGTCCGAGGAGCCGCCTCTGGCCTAGGGCAGGCTTCCCACCACCCTCTCGCCTCGCCTCGGATTGCTGGTCTTTAGGTTCCCCTGCTCAAAATTGGAGACACTGGGGTCAGAGGTCTAGTGGCACAGCTCTTCCCTACTAGGTTCTGGGCTCTAGATTCCATGCTGAGCACATGCAGGCACACACTCACTCACTAATAAAACACCCAGTGTGCCCCCATCTCCTCCGGTGTCTGCAGGAGATTCCAGTAAGAGGCTCTGCTGGGAGCTCTCTAGAGAAGCATGGACCACAGAAGCCCAGTGAGGTGGCTCAGTGGGGTAAAAGCATTTGCCACCAAGTCTGACGAGTGGAGTTCAATCCCCCTAACCTACAGTCATCCTCAGACATCCACACCCACACATGCACACAGTACAGAAATAAGCAAACACAAACAAATCAGTGTCAAATCACAGGTATTAATTAGGCCAGTGGGGCTCGGCACAAGTGTGGGCCTCTCGCTTTGCAGATACTCTAAGGCTGGGAAGAACCTTCCCACAGCCAAACACTGACCAATTCTGGCTCAAAAAACTATGATTTTCTGAGCTACTGGGAAGAGAGGGCAAAGACAGCTATGTGAATGTCCAGGGTGACTGAGGACAAAGCAGCCCAGCCAGCGAGGAAGAGAGTCTCACCACCCTGCATTGGGGGCCCACTGGCACCAGGAGTGTACTGCCTCCCACCAAATGAGTTCATCAACCAAGCCCCTCCTTGACCCTGCTTCCCGAAAGGGAGACACAGAAGCAGTCTTCAGGACTGAGTGTGGCTGAAGACAACCGTCAACTCTGGATCCTCATTCCTCTGATGGTTTTTCTTCTATGCCAACTCTGGCATGGCCTCTTTCCTTCAGTTAGTGAGGAGGTAGAGGTTCCTGGCCCCTCCCCCACGCCGCCTCTGCCTGTACTAAATACACAGGGCACAGCTCTAAATGGAGCCTAGCCAGATCCTCATAGAGAGGAAAATGATTTCTGTGAGCTGGGCAGAGTGGTGTGGCTATTACACTTATGACCCAATAAACACACCAATTAGGGTTATGTGGGCCCAGGGCCTCAGCAGGCCTGCTTTTGGGAAGGGGCTTGAGATGGTGGAGCAGGCAGGGTGATGTGTTATCTCGTCCCATCCCCTCCCCCCACCTCCCACCCTCGAGAGGCTGGCTCTTTCCTGAACCTCATCTCCTCCCTCTATGTATCAAAGGTGAGACAACAGAAAGAGCTAAACTCACAGCTAGGAATCCCCAAGTCTGTTCCTAGCTAGTGGCTTTGGGCCCATTATTCCATCTGTTCACTCACTCTACCGGGCTTTACTTGGCTTTGGTCCTCAGTTTGCTCATCCAGAAATGGGTATAATAAGGGCAACCTCTGAGGTTGGTTTAGGTGTTAAAGACAGAAATACACAAGGTGAACCGTTTTCTCAAGTGAAATTATTTCCTGGCTGGGGTCAGTGAGGGGGTCCGGATTACTATGGAAAGAATGACTTCACTGCACAGGGGAGGGCAGAACAGCCAGGAGGAGCTGGATTTTCAGGATTTTCAGGCCAGCCAAGCCCAGGCTCAGGCCTCCTGCAACCCGGGACATGGAAGCTTCTGCCTAGACCAGCATCTCAACCCCTGCAGCTCTCCCAGGCTCACTCTGCTGGGCTCACATCTCCGTTCTAGCCTGTGGCAATCTGAGCAGTCTTTGGTTTTCCACATCCCGAGAGCAGCTGGCTTGGCTTACTAAAACCATGAAAGGTGTTGGCAAGCCTCTGGAAGCTGCTGCGAGGCTAAACTGTATTCACAGTGGCCTCTAGCGGTAGACTCCCAAAATAGCATGCTAAATGCAAACTGGGCAGCTGGAGGAATCTTCTCAAGTTGACCTACATTCAGACTTGAAGCTCAAAAGGCCTAGTTCAAATCTTAGCCTGGTGAACAAGAAAACCAAATTCCAGATGTCATGTGATTCTCCAAGGCGACACAAAGATCTCACTCTCCTGGATCCAGAGTTTGCCCTGTGGTTTCAGAGGTCTTTAAAACCAGTGATTATTATTTTAATGTGTTGAGTGTGTTTGCATGAGTTTATGTGCACAATGTGAGTGTAGGCGCCCATGGAGGCCAGAAGAGGGTGTTAGACGCTCAGGGATTGAAGTTACAGGCTGTTGTGAATCGCCATGTGGGTGCTGGGAGCTGAATCCTGGTCCTCTGCTGCAGAAGCAAGTGCTCTCAACCACTGAGCCACCTCTCCTACCCAGATAGGAGTCTAATTTTCTTTTTCCCTGGAGACAGGGATCTCACTACGTAGACCAGGCTAGTCTCAGGCCTACCACCAAAGGCAGGGATTCTGAATCACTAGTTTGGAAAAACAAACAGGAACCCAGTTTCTCCACGAGACCAAACCAGCCTCATCTCTCTTGCTTTCCATTTGCACTCTGTCCAGAGTGGCTGGGACGTCCTCTGTCCTGGCATTTCAATCACAGGAGCCCCTTCTATGGAATGTGGCTCTGAAGGCACAGAGCACTTCTTGGCAGGAAGCACCCAGCTTGAACAGATGTGCTTTTGACTTCCTCCTCCACAGCCCTCGGTGCGGTGCCAGAGGGGCCACAGGGAGACTCAGATTGGCTCCAAGATCTGGAGGTAGGAGCCATTTGCCATTTGTGGGAAAAGCTATTTTGACATATTCTGGAGACACAATCCAAAAATAAACGAAGCTGAGGACTTCCAGGGAGCTGAGTGGAAAAGGCTTTGCTGTCACGCCAGCCAGAGCCTGGGTCTGTGACTCCGGGAGCAGCTATTTCTGCCAATGAGCCTCCACCGTTTCCTGATGGAGAATATTTTATTTGATTCACTCAGCAATAACCTCAAAGCATTATACAGGTGCAGGGAAGACAGCATGGAATAAGAATGAGACCAGGCCTTGCTCTGAGGTCAGAGCAGGGAGGGGTGAGGCTGGGAGGGCAGGCTCCCAGCAGACCAGCATAGAGAAGCTGGGGGTGGGAGGGGGTGGGGTGCAGTGGTAAAGCACTTGCCCAGCAAGCAGGGGGTCCGGGGTTCTACCCTAGCACTGGAGTGGAACGAGCATGCGTGGGCGGGGGCACACACACACACACACACACACACGGCTGAAGAGGTGTGGAGTGCCTTCAATGTCTATTATCAAAAGCTGCCTTTAGAAAGTGTTCCCAGTACCAGATCCTGCTCTGAACACCTGTCCTGCCACGAGCAGTAGTGTGACCCCATCGTCGAGGACTGCCATGAGTTCAAGGCTGGCCTCTGATCCCGACTTTTGGAAAGCAGAGATAGGAGGATCAGTTTATCATTCCCAGCTACAGAGAGGGAAGGACTGCCTGGGATACGTGTGAACCTGTCCCAAATAACACGGTCCGTAAGACATGTTTCCAGGTCACTTCACCGCCGCACTAGGACCCCAGGCCTCTCCCTCCACAGCCACTTGCTCCACTGGTGTCCACACAGCAGGGCACTGTCCCCGGTGTTCATCTCGGCAGCCAAAGCTGGGATGCGGCGCCGACTCAGCCTGGGCTTTTTTTCTCTCCAGGCCACAAAAGGCAGAGGAGGTCCTCGAAAGCAGACCATGGGGTCAAGGGCCTGCCTGCCCTGCGCTGCTGCAAAAGCTCCCTCTTCGGGTTCACGCTAGAGCAAACATGACCTCAGACCTTGCTACTCAAAGTGTGGCATCTGGACCAGCAGTCACCATCTCCAGGGGACTGAGTGCCAATGTCCTGAGCCTGAGCCCGGGCAGACACCTTGCGACATCCCAGGTCGCACACCTTACAGCATGGGTGCCTTCCTCTGGACGTTTGTTCGAAGGCTTCTTCCACTGGCTTATTTACTCCCAACCTCAAAGCTGCTTTCCAACTCTAGACTCTTCCCACAAAGGCCGCCTCTTTCCTGTCCTTTGTCAAGTCCTGGAAGTCCCACAGCCACCTTCCTCGCTCTCTACCTAAGTCACAAACTGGTCCATACTGTAAAACCCTTCCTGTCACCTACAGTGAAATGAGCCCCTGTACCCCGCCGTCACACCAATAGTCTAATGGCTCTTACCCTGACAGGGTGACAGCTAGTGGACTAATTCTGCAGGATCCCTGTTAAAAGCAGGCTCCCGGACAGGAGACAGGTGTCTGCACCTCCGGCTTCCTAGCAGTCACTAAAAACTGTGAGACCCTCAGCCTCCCTCTTTTGAGGCTCTGTGTTGTATGGAAACAGGCCTGTGCCAACCAGTGGCTGCCTTGGCATGTGTGTGGAGACCTTTCCAGAAACCAGGAACCACACCCGGGCTGCTCTCTTGCCCAGTGTATGTGGAACCTTAACTTCACAGCAGCGAGGATGTTCCCATCATGCCCAGGGCCTGTGTGGACACGGGACAGGGTATAATTCTGGGAGGTGGCGGGTGGGTGTCTTGTGCTTTGCTCTGAGGAGTAGCTCCAGGCCAGCCGGAAGACATACATGACGGAGTACGGGTCTGCACACCAAGGCCATTTTCAGGGCCAGTTGGTGGCTTTCCCTTTTTCTTCAGTACTCAGAGACTATTTTCTTAGTTTCTGCACTCAAATCCATGCAGATGAGACCTTACACATTTAATGCAGTGCTTTAACCCTGGACAACTGGAAGACAGTAAAGTCGAGCCTTTCCTGGACCTATATGGCTGCTAACTTCCGTACAACGCAAGGTTTTTTTCATTGCTGAGAGAAGAGCGAGCTTGAAGGTGAAGGCTTGTGGAACCTCTGGTCACTTCTCAAAAGGTATGGCGATGACACACAGGCGTGTGGTCCCTTAAGAGGCTCCCCCTGTAAGGAAGGAAAGCCACACAGTCTGCTGCCTCAGGCCCACAGCAACAGGGAGCTGATTGTGTTCCTTAGCATATCCACCTTGTGAGAGCTAATCACCTTGACACACCAGGGGAAGAGGAAACTTACCCTAGGAACTGCCTTCATCTGGCCTGCAGGCATTTTCTTGATTGTTAACTGATATAGGAGGGCACAGCCAACTGTGGGCCGTGCCATCCCACGGCAGTGGGCCTGGGTTATTTAAGGTAGCTGAGCCGGGCAGGGGTGACGCTCGCCTTTAATCCCAGCACTTGAGAGGCAGAGACAGGCGGAGCTCTGTGAGTTCAAGGCCAGCCTGGGCTACAGAGTGAGTTCCAGGACAGCCAGAGATACACAGAGAAACCTTGACTTGGGGGGGGGGGGGGGGGGAAGGTAGCTGAGAAGCCAGGGAGGCAAGCCGGTAAGTAGCATCTCTCCGAGGTTGCCACTTTAGTGCTTGTCTCGAGTTCCTCCTGTCCTGTCTTCCCTGGATGATGGGCTGTGACCTGGGATTGGAAGATGAAATAACTCTTTCCTTCCCCGGGCTGCTTCTGGTCGGTGTTCCATCACAGCAGTACAAAAGCCAACTAAAACACATCCAGTTCACCGTTAGCTCACCCCTCCGTCAGAACACTAGCAGACATCATGTGTCTTTCTCTAGTTCTGCCTCTCAAGTAGAAGCTTGGGAAAGCCGGATGGAGACTCACAAACCCAGCAGAGTGAATCCTGAAGACAGGAATGCCACAGCACTCCTCCCCACCACCAAGATTAAAATGGCCAAGAGTGTGCCTTTAGTGCCAGCACTTAGGGCTAAAATGTTCTGAGTTCAAGGCCAGCCTGGTCTATATAGTAAGTTAAGGCCAGCAAGTGCTACACACTGACACCCTGTCTCAAAAGGGGGGGGCGGGGGCAGGGCAGGAATCTAGAAGAATACCAAGACCACAGCACTGATTTCGACCACCAATGGTACTTTATTCTGGAAATTTCTATGTATTACATAGGTATTAACATCCTTCTTTTCAGCCCCACACTCCCTGCACATCCAGAAAGATTAAAAAAAAAAAAAAAAAGATGTCATGTATAAAAACCTCTTACCTACTCTCTCTAAAGCCCTGTGTGTCACTGCATGTGAGCGAGACTCTTGAAGGACTGGCCTTGTGCTCAGGACTGCCAGTGCTTCCCGGGGGCAAATGGTCAGCGCTCCTGCTTCCTCTTCCAAGATCCATTTCTCAATCATTACACATTAGCATTCCCCACTTGATACCTCCTTAGCAACTTGATTGCTGGATGCATTTTTCATTTGGCAAAAATTCAATATGGCTTTGCGTGGGATGTTTAGTGTCAGAAGCGGTGGTGTTGATGCTCAGGCTCTGCGGGAAAATAGAGAGCATGTATATTCCTGGAAGAGCACACATTGGCGGCTGAAAGGGCTGTGCAGTTAACGCCTCATCAACACCGCCTGCTTCTCAAGTCTGTGACTGTTGGCCGGAACACAAATGCCCCCGAAGAGGACCCCTCGGCTTCCTTTGGTTCCGAGGGTGTCAGAGTAGGTATGCATGACACTGATACAAGGCACACTATGGCATCGGAAGACGGCTCCCTGGGACCATCTTAGAAGACCTGGGTGTGCCCGAGACAGCATCCCGTCTACCCAGAAGGGTATGCCTTAAGGATCTTCACGTCATCCACGGGACGGTCCTGGGAGTTTGTCTCCACCATGCCCACTCGATTCACCATCCCTATGCCCTGGCACACTCGGCCAAAGATGGTGTGTTTGCCGTCCAGCCACTGGGTGGGAGCGAGGGTCACAAAGAACTGGCTGCCATTGGTGTCTGGTCCTGCATTGGCCATTGCAAGAATCCCAGCCCCTGGGGGAGATGAGAAGAGAGAAGAACATGAACCCTGACCCTCAGACCAGCAGAGTGGCAACACTCTCAGTGGATACAGAGTGCAGGGTGGACTCTGCCTGCACCCCCAAAGCCTCAATGCCTCTGCCTCCACCTCTCTCCAGCTTCACTTGTGCCGCTCCTCACTAACCACTGGCCCACGTTACTCATTCCTCTCAAGAGGCCAGCAAGGCCTTGCTTTGCGCTGAGGAAGTGTCCGAGAGCCTTTATTTCATGACATTTAACAAGTGGGGAGAGTCCAGCACACAGACCAGCACTCAGAATTGCCAAGGACTCTCAAGAGGCGCTGTTTTCTTTCATCTGCCAGGGCACTCTGTGGCGCCATGGCGGGCAGCTGTCTGGCACCATGCCAGGTGTCAGGCACACACCTTGAATCACGGCCAAAAAAGCAAGCTTCAGTGTGCGTTCTCCCTCCTGCCCATCCAGCCAGACCACACACTTACCAGTGAACTTCAGGTCCGGATGAAGTTCATCCTCAAACTGTTTGCCGTAGATAGATGCGCCGCCTCGACCTGTCCAACCAGAAGACAAGCAGTGAACCGGCCAGTCCCACAGTCTGCCTCAGAGGAAGAGCCTGGGGTCAAACAACTCTCCAGAGTACAGGGCTGCTTCAGGGGTCGAACAAGTCTCCAGAATACAGGGCTGTTTTAGGCAGCGCGCACCCCAGCCGCCAGTAGACACGTTACAATGTTCCAGTCACTGGCTGCATGCAGGGAAGACAGTAACATTTGCTCATGAAGTCAATGTTCACTGTCAACACGCAGGAAGCACAGAACAGCATCCACAGGGCAGTGGCACCAGTGTGTCCAACCTCTACAGGAAACCTCCACTCACGGCCCAACAGGGAACAACGCTTCTGAGCAGTCCAGCAAGAGTGCCCAGGCCCCGACCCCAGTGCCCACTGCAGACAAATGCAGGTAAATGAGCTTGTGCACCTACAGAGGCTGAGGAGCAGAGATGGAGGTGTGGCGGCAGCAGGGCACGCCTTTAATTCCAGTACCCGGAAGCAGAGGCAGGCAAATCTCTGTGAGTTTGAGACCAGCCTGGTCTACAGAGTGAGATCCAGGACAGCCAGGGCTACACAGAGAAACCCTGTCTCGAAAAACCAAAAAACCAAAACATAGGGATACTGAAGGCCAGGACACTGGTACAAGTTGGCCTCTGTGCTACTGTGGGTAGTAACTCTCAGTGGTTCTGGAACTCACCATCTGCTCCCTGAGACCACCTGGGAGACTGGCGGCTTTACCACCACAACAGCCCTGGACCTGTGGCATTCTGGACCAATTCTGGCCTCACCTGTGGCCAACTCTAACTCGTGTGCAATAAATCACCTTTCTCGCTGTCTCAGCTAGAGAACAAACAAACAAATAAATAAATAAGTAAATAAACAAAGCTATCTCCAAGACTCCCCAGCAGCCCCCCACCCCTGGAGAGGAACAGACTGACGCCTAAGGCACGCATGACACAAGAAGTGTGGGCTGACAACGACGGTTACTATGCTTGGTGCTACTTGAACCCATCCCGCCCATGACAGGCAGCAGATTCGTATCCAAGCCAAAAGGAACCATGGTGGGCTGCGGCCCGTAAGGAGGACCACATGGGCACCCGACACCTAGTCAGCTGACCAATAAAGCCTCCAACGGACACTTCAGGTCACTGACCCCTGGGCATCCCCAGCACTTTCTCCCCACCTTCCCCGGCCTCAAAGACAGGTCCAGGGCAGTTCCTCTGCGGCCAGCTGAGGCCCATGGCCCAGCTCTGTCTTACAACATAAACAAGGCTGCCAGGTCACACTCCCAAGAAGGCAGCACTTTCCGTATAAACACAGACGAGCGCTCCCTCTGCACTCCTGGCAGCCTTCTCTCACCTCCCTTCAGAGGCAGCTGCAGCCCTCTTGAAAGCGTAAGACACAAGTTCAAGATGGAAGGCCAAAAGCTAAGGGTGGCAGACAGAGAGGGACAGCGAGTTCAGCCCTGACAGCTGTGCTGGGAAGAGGACCAGTGAGGACACCGCTTTCCTCAGGAGAGTTTACAGTGGGGGAGAAAACACAGACATAATGGCTGCCATGTTGGTGACTTAGAGCCAAGGCTGAGCTACCCAAGGACACGGCCACTTAGGAACGGCAGGGCAGAGGCCCTCTCACAGGAAGCCAGCACAGAAGCTACAGGGGTGCTGAGCCCACTAACCAGGGACAGCGGGGACAGTCACCACCTACAGAGGCCAGCAGTCAGCCTGGCCCGATCCCTTCCTCCACCATTCCTGGCTCTCCTGGTCTTCTTCCCAGTCACTTCTGCCTCACTTCCTCCTGTTACTGATGCTCCTTCTGAACTGTCGCCAGATTCTCGCCACCATGTACCCAAGGCCACACCTGTGGAAGCCCACAGCTACAACCTTCCTGCCTCAGTTTCCCCTTCCTGTCTGCACACCATTAATATTTCCTTAGTCTATGTCCCGGGTCCCCTTCACAGGAACAGCTGCTTTATCTCCTTACTCTGATCTGGGGTCTGAGAGTTAGGGGCACCATCCTCATTCTGTCCACACATACTCATCCCACAGCTCCACTGAGCCCTCAGGCCTCCCTAGGTCCGCAGCAGCCTCTCACAGTTGGTGTCACCCTTTTCCAAGACTGCCCCGGGGCTCCCCCTCCCTGGCAGCTCCTTCTCCACTGATGCCTTCTTTCTCAGGGGACAGGTCTGAGAACGCACTTCTTCTCCTCTGGTTCTGTCCCTCAGTCAATCTCTGAACACCTAACTGCCTGGGTATTGTGGTCACTGTCCTCTCTTTCCCTGCCTTGCTGTGGCGAGCACCCTGCTCAAGGCCTCTGCCTGCTGTCCAGTGTCCCTGCCCGACTCTGGCACTCAGCTCTACTCCACCTTACCAGCCTTTCCTATGTGCACCAGCCCAGCAGTTTTCAAGAGGGGTTGGTTGTGGCCCTGGCGACACTGGGTAATGTCAGGGACATTTTTGGTTGTCAGAACTGAAGGGTCCACTATCTAGTGGGTAGATGCCAGGCCAGGCCGGCTGCTAACCATCCCTCGGTGCCAGCCTAGCTCACATCAGAGCTGTCTAGCCTCAGCTGATAACACCAAGGGGCAGACAGACACTCTGCTCTCTCCCCTACAGCCACTGTTTTCAAGTCACCTGTCGTGACCTGATGTTCCATCGAAACGGCTCACCTTCCACCTTCTCGTCAGAGCCTCTCCCTGCTGGACCCCAGTGCCAGCAGCCGGGCCACAGAAGGAGTCTAGCAGGTACCCGTGAAATGCTAAGTGACTTAACCAAAGTAAATCCTCTTTTGCACTGTTTCTGTGGCAAGCCTTCGCCAACCGTGTCACCAGCACGAGCTCACACTGCTCCACAATAACCCCAGGAGGAATGGACAGCCATGCTCCTCACCTCCTGACAAGAGCTCTGCAAAGTCACCTACGCTGTACATATGTGACCCGTGGCTGTGAGGCAGGACTCGGGTCTAACACACTGGGCCCCACATCCCTGCCTGGCGCCTGGATGTGACCCTACCTCGCCAGCTGGGCTCAGCTTCTCAGGCATTTTCCTTCTTACTCCAGTCACAAGGGCCCCCAGTGCCAAATTAAATCCGATCCTGCTGGATCAAATCAGCACCCTTGGCTGGTGGGATCTGCATTAACCGGCCCCATCTGACCCTGACCCCATGCCTCTTGCCACAGGTGATCAATCTGCCCACACCGCTCCTCTCCTGCTATCTATACATGCAGGTCAGAGAAATGTGACTCAGGCCTCAGAGTCATCCAACTCCAGTCTCAAGAGTGAAGAGTTGGCTGGGTTCCGTCCCAGGATCAGCGAAGCAAGGAAGCCCCTGACTTACTCCCGGGACGGCAGGCTCTCCTCCATGCTTCTCTGCAATAGTACTAAAGCGCTCTGCCCTTGGCTTCCAAGAGTCAAGGCCTACGATTCCTTCAAGGCTCATCCACAAGGCCTCCTCTCCAACCCTGCTCCATCGGACCAGTCCCCTCACTATAAGTTATCCAACTTGCCTCACACTCAAACCATAGAATGTCAGCACAAAGTTGCACACTCATGATGTCACCACTTGCCTGTTTCTTAAAATGACAGCTTGTTTCCTGCAGAGCTGGGAGCTCCATGAGGAAAGAGATTGCCTTGGCTTCTGTGCTTTACCGCTCCTCACAGGCCCTGGAATGTGCAGGATACCCAGCAGACTCTTAGCAAATATTCGCTAAATGAGTAAAACTGACAATGGCTTTCCGTTCCACAAGACAAACTTCAGGTGTTCCTGGGGCACCAAGAAGAGATGACATCAGAGGGAGGCTGCTCGCAGGATAACCTGTGCAATTAATCAAGACCAAGAGCGGAGCAAGATGGCCTCACAGACACGCTCAAGCTCGGCAGGGTCTCGGGACCTAACTGGAGGTGAGGGAATCAGGTAAGCAGAAACGGGTGAAAGGCTCACAGGAAGCCGAGGAAAGGGCTGATGTGGTCATTTCAGTGTGGGCAGAGTGCAAGGTGTGTGTGGGGGGGGGGGGGGGCTCAGAGTGAAACGCAGGAAGTCAGGCGCATCTGAGCTGAGAACGCAGCTGACAAGGACAGGCGTGAGGAAGGCTGGGAAGGGAGGCTTCTGAGGAGCCAGGCTGCATGCAGCAGGAACGGAGAAGGAACACCCAGCTTGCCGAGAACCTACAATGTTACCTGCTATCTACCTGCGACAGCCAAAAATGTCTCTTCGTCAGCTGGCGGGCGGGTCTAGTGCCTAGGAGGGCAGCCTCCTGTGTGCTTCCCCACAGACCCGCTGGCAGGCCGCGCAGACATTTGTTATACTTGAGCTTGCAGCATTATTGAAAATCTTGGGAGTGCTTCAATTTCATTAAAAGTACATCATGGAAATGTGACATTAGAAAAGACAGCAGAGTGAGTACAGAGGCCCAGGCATGCTGTGCCAACAGTTCATTTCTGAGGCCACTTCCCGTTCAGCGAGCATGGGCTCTGGGCACACTGGTGTTACAGATTAACAGTCATTTCATTATAGCCATGAAAGGGAGGGGAGCGGGGCATGGTGGCGCACGCCTTTAATCCCAGCACTCGGGAGGAAGAGCAGGCGGATCTCTGTGAGTTCGAGGCCAGCCTGGGCTACAGAGTGAGTTCCAGGACAGGCAGGAACATACAGTGAGACCATGTTTCTTTTTATTTATTTATTTGTTTGTTTTTTAATGCTGAATGCCGTTTATTGAAGGAGGGAGGAGGTCTTAAATACAGGCTTACAGCACAATGGGAGAACCCCGGAGGGCAGAAGTTTGCTACAGATGTTTTACAATCTTGCATCTAAGCTGTTAACGCTCATTATGTAGGATACACAGACAAGAAACTTCCCTTAAGCATTCAGGAGGGTGGAACCCGGCAGGGAATTAGCATAGGGAGGATATCAAGGTCAAGGTCAGCAAGCAAGGCAACACTTACCCAAAACGGGGGCCAGGGCTCTACAGGTCCCCCTTTTACTAAAAAATGAGCTTCTGACTTAGGT